GCGGGAAATAATGGATCTGTCTCTATACACGATTCTACAGCGAAATATGAGTAAAGAGCATTCCATTGGTTCATAACTCTTTCGACACATTGTGACATTGCTAGCCACCTTGTTGTCGATGGTTGAAGGAGCTTCTGTTTTGCCATGTTCATTATCTCCTGAATGTCTTCCAAACCTTGCTGCTTTTTATGGCTTGTAGTGAAGTACCTATACAATGAATATAACAAATCTTCCACGTGCCTCGGTAACTTCTTGGCAGCATTGCAGGCTGCCAGGTGAATGGAGTGGCATATACATGGTAAAACGACAAGTTCTGAATCGTTTTCTGCCAGCAGCCGAGAAACGAATGAATTATGTTTCCCCACCATTACACTTGCATTATCAACAGAAATGCCAATGACGTTCCTGACTGGAATATTGTATTTTTCCATTGAGTATTTGAAGCAATCGTATAAATACTCGGCATTTCCTTCTCTCAATCGTAGGTAGTCCAGTAAATATGTGTGGATTGCCCCCTCATACGTGTATCTGTTAAGGTGAATACGTAAATTGTCGTCGCATTCGGTAATACGCAGTTATCGACTGTGGTTAATCACCATGTACATTTAAGTTAATGATAGTTGCGTATCTTATACCAAATGTGGTTAACCTTTGCTGTAAGGAGTCTCAGTCTCGAACTGAGTCCTGAGAAGAAAAGACTGTTTCTAGTTTCATAAGTTTTTTCGAGAAGAAGATACACCGTTTAATTTTGCAATATCAAATTTGTATTACTCTGCTATTAACATTAAATAATTAAATAATTGTAACATCAGTATCTTGCCAGGGTGCATAAATTTTTGTACCCTGACACGTCGGTGCTTTCATTTACTAAGATTGAGAAGAATGTATTCCTTAATATTTTAGTCACATTCATCACGATGGCTTCATTGATCACGTTCTTCGTGATGGCTGCAATTTTTGTACTCTTCAATTTCATTTCTGTGGATCCTTCATTGATTGTATTTTCGTCCAAAACTCTACTGGCTGTAATTCACACAGATGCTGCACTTCATTTTCTTCAATGAGCCGTCCGAGTTCACACCACTAATTCGTGGCATCCATTTCCACAATTCTCGATTTGAATGTTTTGAATATGGAATCTAATTGTCCTAAGTTTTTGTTCTTTTCCAGAGCATTTTTTGGTACGAGAAAAGATAATTGGCGTATAAAGTTGTTCTGGAACGGCAGTCTTTTAACTGTCTGTTGGAAAAGCTCTTGATAATATTGTAAGCAATTATTGTAGAACGCTGTTATTTTCTCTTCTTTTCCTTCCTCCGTTGATGAAGTGAATTCAGAAACAATAGCTCGTGCACCTTCCCCGATGTACATTTGATCTATTGACAATAAATATTTTGCATTACACGGATCTAGTGAAGGTAAGTCGTTCCTTTTTGCAACTTCACGTTGCATAAAGTTTGATGCTACCACTGATAGAAAGTTTGTACAGTGTAAATAGAAAGAGTGTAGTAGTACATCATCCGTTTGGAAAAGAGTGTTGAAATTCTGACTTCCGAAGGACATAATTCAAAAAGTCCAAGTACGCCTTTGTTAATGGATGGTTCATCCTGTTAAATATGCCTTCTTCCATGGACATCGCGGGAAATAATGGATCTGTCACTATACACGATTCTACAGCGAAATATGTGTAAAGAGCATTCCATTGGTTCAGAACTCTTTCGATACATTGTGACAGTGCTAGCCACCTTGTTGTCGATGGTTGAAGGAGCTTCTGTTTTGCCATGTGCATTATCTCCTGAATGTCTTCCAAACCTTGCTGCTTTTTAGGGCTTGTAGTGAAGTGCCTGTACAATGAATATAACAAATCTTCCACGTGCCTCGGTAACTTATTGGCAGCATTGCAGGCTGCCAGGTGAATGGAGTGGCATATACATGGTAAAACGACAACTTCTGAATCGTTTTCTGTCAGTAGCCGAGAAACGAATGAATTATGTTTCCCCACCATTACACTTGCATTGTCAACAGAAATGCCAATGACGTTCCTGACTGGAATATTGTATTTTTCCATTGAGTATTTGAAGCAATCGTATAAATACTCGGCATTTCCTTCTCTCAATCGTAGGTAGTCCAGTAAATATGTGTGGATTGCCCCCTCATACGTGTATCTGTTAAGGTGAATACGTAAATTGTCGTCGCATTCGGTAATACGCAGTTATCGACTGTGGTTAATCACCATGTACATTTAAGTTAATGATAGTTGCGTATCTTATACCAAATGTGGTTAACCTTTGCTGTAAGGAGTCTCAGTCTCGAACTGAGTCCTGAGAAGAAAAGACTGTTTCTAGTTTCATAAGTTTTTTCGAGAAGAAGATACACCGTTTAATTTTGCATTATCAAATTTATATTACACTGCTATTGAC